GTCTATCCTCTTTTACTATACAGATCACCATTTTTACTCTATCTTCTATTACTATATGGACTGCTATTCTCCACTCTATTCACTATACTATTTCTCTTTTTGGATCACTATAGTGATTACTATTCCAGTGAGTATTATTGAGCAAGTACTATTAGTGTGAGTGATATTCGAAGGTGTCTGACACCAGTATTGTTCAACGGCATACTATAGTGGTATCTGTGATTACAAAGTCTCTACTACAAGCATTACAAGTGATAACGAGTATTTGTTGGCATCACAAAAGTAGCAATGAATATTCATTGACATCACAAAAGTGGTGACAAGGATTCACAAGGATTCTTTGAACTTACACGAGGATTCATTCGGTGGAGTACAGCAAAATGGAAGAATTGAAAGCTATCATGATTCAAATGTTAGCGTTACAAAAGCAACAAATGTTGCAGCAACAAAAATACAACAAGAACATTTGCAGCAACAAAACCAACAACATGAACATCAATTACAACTACAGCAACAGAAGTTTTTTGAGTTGTTTACCAAAACCATGGAAGAAAAAACTTCAGATTCATTCACTCCAGATGTCGTTGCTAATTCAATCAGTGAATTTGTGTACAATCCAGATGAAGGGATAACTTTTCCAGCTTATTATAGAATATACAAAGGGATCTTCAAAATGGATTGTTTGCATTGGAATGATGAAAAGAAAATTAAAGAAATTGTCCCCTGCTGAACATGAAAAATATGTGAATTATATTTTGCCGAAAATACCAGGAGAGATAAATTTTGATGAAACTTCTAATTCTATCAAAAATTTTTGGTGATAGGAGTTCATTATTTAATACACAATGACAATGTCTTAACTTAGTAATGTATGACGATAAAGATTTTGTCACTTATGCAGGAGTCATGAATCGAGAATGTGAAAAGTTCAAGTTAAATGAATTAACTCCCGATTTATTTAAATGCCTGATATTCGTACAGGGTTTAAATTCTAACAAGGATGTGGGGATAAGATCCAGGATATTTGCTAAATTAGAAATGGATTCCAAATTAACTATTCAGAAAATAGCGGAAGAATGTCAACACATTGTGAATTTGAAATTTGATACTGCAAGGATTGAGGAAAAAGACAATTCACAAGTACATAGTGTCCGACCATCTAAGAGAAGAAACTACAAATGTTTTTGAACTCCTAACAGAACAGTAAAAAAAGACTATAAACCCTCTTCAATGCCTAATACTTGTCATGGTTATGAAGGTAAGCATTTTAAAAGTGATTGTTTCTTCAAAAACAAAAAATTTTATGAATGTGGGAGATTAGGACACAAAAGGACGTGCTGCTGATATATTAGAATTTGATTTGAGAACCACAACCAATATTTTACAAGTTCATGTTGTAGCCTCTTTTCCAATTCTCTTCTTAACTTTTTTACCCTGCTTTCAAATCCGGCTCCCAAAGCCTTGATTCTTATAAGAGATAAGAATATATTTTCTGACTAATGAGAGAGGAGTTTGAACATCATTATCCTATCCTTGGTGTCATGAAGTTCAGGGGTAATGTACCTTTTGTGGCCTTAGATCCAATTAATAATGAATTGGACAGACTAGAAAAATTAGGTGTGATCTCAAACAGACTATTCCAAATGGGCATCACCAACAGTCTACGTTAAAAAAAAGAATAATAAAATCCACATATGTGCTGCTTTTTCAATGGGGTTAAATGAAAGTTTAAAAACAACATAACTACCCATTACAAAGTCTAGAGGAAATTTTTGCCAAATTGAATAAAGGTAAATTTTTTTCTAATATTGAACCTGTCAGACACTTATCTACAAGTACTAGTGGATAAAGATTGCTCAAAACTATTGACAACACTCATATGCAAATACAGGTTTATACAAATTCAACAAACTTCCTTTCAGTATAAAAGGTAGCACCAAGCATATTACAACAGAAAATGGAAACCATGCTTGCCAGTTTGGATTGTGCTCAAGCATATTTGGATGATGTACTTATTAAAAGTAAAACCTGAAAGCAGCATATGGAAGATGTAAAAAAGTATTTGAGAGAATTAAAGAATGTGGTTTTAAGAATAGTGAAGGAAAATGCAAAAAATGGTAGGAGTGCAATAAAGGACATGCCTCCTCCAACAAATGTAACAAAGTTACAAGCATTTTTAGGGTTTGCTAATTACTATCATGTATATATATATATATATATATATATATATATATATATATATATATAACATGCCCAAATTAAGACCACCCTTGAATAACCTGCTTAAGATAGATGTGAAATGGGATTGGACAGATAAATGTCAAAGTGCTTTCAAAGAGATCAAGAAAGTCATAACATTGGTTTTGTCAGCAGCTCATTTTGACCCTAAATTAAAGATTGTGGTTGAATTAGATGCAAGTGATTCAGGTATTGGAGTGGTGATACTACACTAATATGAGGATTGAAAAACTAAACCAATAGCTCATGCTTCAAGATCATTAATTGCAGCTGAAAAAAATCTACAGCCATTTTGAAAAGATAAGCATTGGCAATCATATTTGCTATGAAAAAGTTTCATAAATTCATACATAGTAGAGAATTCATACTACAGACAGACCATTGTCCATTATTGTTCATATATGGATCAAAAAAAGGTGTTCCCACACATACAGTGACTAGACTGCAGTGTTAGGTAATTATCCAATTAAAGTATAATTATAAAATGGAGTTTCTACCATCCAAAAAATTAAGTCATGCAGGAAGATTGTCTAGACTAATACCAAGATTCTGTGAACCACTTGAAGACACAGTAATTGCGGCGATAAGGGCCGAAAATGAAATTAACATACAACATTATAGGAAATAAGAATTAAGTCAGAAAAAGATGACTTCATAATAAAAATAATGAAGCAATTAAGTTTTAAAGGAAAAAAATATTGGAAATAATGCATTTTCATTATGTCATGATGTACTTATGTATGCAGAAAAAATTGTGATACCAGCATTGTTGCAAAAATGTATGCTAAAGGAATTTCACATAGGACATCCAGGAATTTCTAGAATGAAAGCCTTAATGAGGTGTTATACTTACTGGCCTAAAATGGATCAAGATATCGAGAATTTAGTGAAATCATGTAGAGGTTGTGCTCTGGTAGCAAAGTCACCGCCTATCAAAATTCAATCTTGGCGGAAAACCGATATGCCAAGGTCCAGAATATATATAGACTTCACAGGATCGTTACACGGAACATACTATCTAGTGGTAGTCGATAGTTACACTAAATTGCCAGAAATATTAAAATGCAGAAGACCGACTACCGCAGCAATGATAAATTTCCTACACAAGATTTTTGCAAGGTTCATTATTCCTGACTATTGTTTCAGATAATGGGAATAAATTCACGTCTAGTGAATTTAAGTTTTTTTTGCAAAACATTAGCAATAGAACATATTACAACTCCCCCTTATCATCCAAGATCAAATGGACAGGCAGAATGGTTTGTCAATACATTTAAAAAGGCACTAAAAAAGTCGGGGGGAGAGGAGGCAGATGAAATAATGCTACAACAATTTTTGAGAGTTTACAGAATAACACTGTGATGAAAAGAGACCTTTTTAGAAAGTTGAATATTAAGGTTTTATTCAACATAAAAAAGCATACATAATTACCAGTTACATAGAAGATATGAACGAATGGACGCCAGAGAGGAAGAAAGAGGCGTCCCACTGTTATTTATAAACAAGATCACGTGACGCGAAATCACACAACAGTTCGTATGCAGATAAGTAGAAGGTATTAAATAATTAACTGAATGAATACAAAAGAATTATAAGTATATCACAACAAACACCAAACCAGAACACTGTTTTTGGAATGACACCTGCAGAGTTGATATTTGCCAGGAAGATTAAATCTGTATTTAACAAATGGAACGGAAGACAAGAACATCAAGGAATCAAAATAATATAAATAAATATTTTAAACATGATGATAAAGTGTTTTTTTAAAATGTACCAACGTGGAAAAGAATTCTGGGAAGATGGAGTCATAAAAAAAGGGATTGGAAAAATGACACACATGGTACAGGGACAAAGGTAGGAACATAAGTGACACCTTAATCAGTTAAAACAGAGATTCACTGATTTACTAAGTCCATGTAAAGAGGTACCAATGAAAATATTGTATGACATATTCGACATACCCATGCCACCAGAAATTAGTGAACCAAGGAGGTACAGTAAAAGAAAACGAACAGCAATGGAACATTTGAATATTGAACCAAAGCTGAAGAAATATAGATTCCAGAGGAAGTCATCTCAAAGGAATAAAGTGTCACTGCTGACACTTGAGTTTGAACATAGTTCGCCAGTGAGCCACACAGGTGATCCCATTATTGAATTAAGTAGACTATGTGACCATAGAGGAAACACATATGTGGAAGGTAGCTTGACGTTTAATTGATCTTGTTTCTAGCCTATACTATATGGATCGCTATTTCTAGTCTATCTTCTATTACTGTACAGATCACTATTCTCAACTCTATTCACTATACTATTTCTCTGTTTGGATCATTATTTGAGAGAGTATTATCAAGCAAGTACTATTACTGTGAGTGATATTCAAAGGCGTCTGACACCAGTATTGTTTAACAGCATACCATAGTGGTATCTGCGATTACAAAGTCTCTACTACAATGAGCATTATGAAAGTGACAACAAGTATTCATTGGCATCACAAAAGTGGCAACGAGTGTTTGTTGACATCACAAAAGGAATATAACAACAGTAATTTACCATTTCCTTCAGCCATATGGTTTCTGTCTGTAACCCCTTGTCTATTGAAGTCATGACTTTTCAGCTCAGTGAAAAATTATAATCAACAAAATGTGGAAATCCTTATACCAAATATTGTTTTAGTGAATTTTAAGAATCTGATCCATTGTGAACATGAAAAATATTTAGTTATTAATTAATAAACAAATAAGAAAATTTATTTCTACCAATTAAAGTTTTTCCTGTGCCTGGAGGGCCAAATAATAACAATCCTTTAGGCGGACCACGTAATCCAGTAAATATGTCCCTGTATAAAAATAAAAGTTACATAGTTATTTTTCTTTTAAATCAAAAATGACAATAGAGATAAGTATAAAATCACATGCATACACAGACAAGGTGTACTGAATCCCAAGAAAGGATACCATGTACAGAAAAGGAAAGACTAGCTACTCTGCTGTCAGTCTACATTTTCAGCTTGCCCGAATTGAGAGCAGCCATACCACAGGCAACACAGGTAGCAGGTTAGCTGATAGGTCCCCTACCCTCAGTATGCTAGAACTTGTCTATATACTTATCTACATACAGGATTTGATAGATTATTCAGAGAAAAGCTACAGTTGATTTAAATAGCTTACACTCTGATGTGAGGGAGGAGCTACAAAGTACCCTAAACATTATCTCCTCCTCGTCCTTACTCAAGCTGACTGTAGACGATAGAAACCCTATTCTTAGCTGTAGAAATTTAAAAGAAAAAATATACAAAGTTTATTCCTGTCGTATTTAGCACATGGAAAACCCTTCAAGTATTATTCAAAACCTGAAAAGTAATTAGCTTGTTTACGAGTAGCAAAGATATTGGTGTAGACTATTCTAGACTGAGATCTAAAAAGAAGGTTTGAAATCTGTATCAGCTGTGGGAAGTAGAATTGATCCTGACAAAAGTTCAAAGATGTCTATACTATCCAACTCTATAAGTAAAAAGAGAATTAAAATGTGTTGAATTCAGACAAAAGCAAGTCATTGTTAACATCAACAGGATAACATCTTTGAAGTCACCTTTTCTAAACCCATAAAACCATTTTCAATAATTTCTTTTGTTTAAAGAATTTATCCCATAAACACTGTATTTTGAGTTACTTTTACCACATTATTGTCTTTTCTAATATCAAAGAATATTACATGTATTTTGAAGACATGTCCATTTTTAGGAGAGTCAAGTTAGTCACTTTGGCAATATAACAAACTTGTAGTAAGTCCCAATAAAAATAAAATATATAGACAAAAATAAAAAGAATTCAAATTAAAATAAGGCATTTGCACTTTCCTTTAAAACTCTTATCTTTCTTTCTTTTTATACTTCTTTTATGAGAACACAACCCTCAAATAAAAAGAGGAAGAAGAAAAGACTGAACCTGGCCAAAAAATGTCAGAAATTTGCAGGAACAGAGCCTATTAATTTATGACTGAAAACAAACAAAAATCAGGGAGGCTCCACGCATAACTTCCATTAAACTGACAGAACAAAATATGCTACCCCAGAGAAATCAGCTGGGCATGATGCATAAAGAAGTTAAGAGGCCATTGACTAGTAATATTTCTCCCCTACTTAGGGCCAAGGAAAAGAAAATAAGATTGACACTGACCTATTTTTAATACTACTACTGCTAGCATGCTCTGGCTTTAAAACTACCACTACTGAGACAAAAAGAACATTTCTCCAGACTGCTACCAATATCTGCCTTATAAATGAACATTTTTGTGACATTGAATACCAATCACTATAAAGCAAATAAATAAAAATATATTATTTATTTTGCATCCTATTTTGTACCGTTTTTATTCCAAACTTTTCAGTAAAGAATATCCTACATTACATCCACACTCGTGACCTCCAATGTGAACACACTTAACCATGTATACAAAACTGTATGAACTCATACTAGCATGTATTATTAGTATTTAGGTATTTTAGAATACCATGCAATCTATTACTATCAGATTTTCAATATTACTTATGGAATGGACTAATATCATTGGATATTTTATTACAAACAAGAAAGGACGCACTTCTGCAAAATTGTTCATAATCATAGAGAGAAAAAAATGCTTTTCTAATATCCACAACCACCAAATAAATTAGATTTTCATACTCACGGACGAAGCATGGGCCACACTACAATTTCTTTGATATTTTTTTTTGCAAATTCCAATCCAGCGATATCATCCCAATTCACTCCAGGGCCATGATCCATTATCTTATGCAAAGAAAAATAAATAGTTGTAAAGTTTACATATGTATCTTTTTAAAGCAAATTAATTTGAGTTTTTTTCAAAGAGATTCAAGCAATATGAGAACAGGTTTTTTCTAACATGATGAAGACATAACTGTTGCCTTTATTCTTTTTGTCTTCTCTTGTAAGCTGTATAATACAAAAGGAGCTTTCTCACATGTCCTATGTTCTCATTGTTTGTTACTCCATATAGCTTGTAGCCATATTCATGTTGAAACACTGATTCTCATATGATCACTGAAGTTAAGCAATGTTGAGCCTGGTCAGTACCTAGATGAGTGACCATTTAGGAATACCAGGTGCTGTAAACTTGGATGTGTGGGTGGTGTAGTGGATAACAGCTCAGAATTGGAAATCAGAGATATTTTCTGACTATAAATAACCTGCAAAAGTTTTATAAGCCATAAAAAAACAAAAATCAATTTACTCCACATAATAAACAAATGGATATATGGATCCGACCTCACTACTATTCTTAAAGTCTTTTCTTTATGATCTCCCAATAAAATACTTAACCATTTGATCTTCTGTTAAATAATTTTTGTGTGCGAGTTTTGTTTAGAACAGAAGTAATAGTCTGGTTGATTTAGAGTGAATATAAGGTGTACCAGAAAAAAAATGTTACCAAGACATGTTTTGTATCATTGGATGCAGAATTTTATATTCTGCAAGAAAATAAAAACTCCTTTCTCCCTTGTGGAATTTTTTCTATGGTCATTTTTTGAGCACCACTTTCAAAAAACATGCTGCAAGATGAAACATGCTTCTTAGTTGAGCAGTTTAGTTTATAGGCTTTCACATCATCATAAGCTTCTTGGAAAGTGTTGGTAGTCTCATGAATGGTGCAGGGTTGTCTGAGTTACTGACTACCATCTACATGGAAAGCTTGGTGTCACATATTTCCAGAAAGGCTGTCTCAAGAGCTTTACAAGCACACTTTGTACATGCAGCCTTGATGAGCAAACTTACCGATGATGTGCTTCCAGCAAATGTTGATGTAGGAGAGGTAGATAAGGTAGGGATTACTTTTGGCATGGAAGAGGAATTTGTGGAGAATGAAGCTGAGATCCTAGATACTGAAGGAGAGCAGCATGTGTTTCAATATAATTTCCAGGATGTGGTGCAAGATTATTTGCCTGAGAAACTAGAACAATCTGATGTGGATGAAATAAACGACTTCCATAATAAACTCCAAGTGCATGAGATCAGTACTGATGACAATGGCAAATCTTCAGCTCTCATAAAGCTGCAGAGAGTGCTCAATACTCTGATGCATGAACTCAAGAGCAAATCAAGAACAGCAAAGTTATGGCTGGCCTACATTGAGTACATGCTTAAACTGTTTATTCATGCTGAGAGAACAGGGTATTGGAATTTGCATCTTGTGGCAGAGAGGCAAATACTAAATTTATGTGCAGCAAATGGGCATTACAACTATACAAAGAATGCACAATTGTACTTAAATGGATGCTAGAATTGCTTGAAAAACATCCTTGGCTACATCAACAGTTCTCAGAGTATGGGTTTCATTCTGTGTGATGCAGTGACCTTTACTGGGCTGCGTTGTCAATTGACCTCATTATTGAAGAAGTGATGATGAGATCCATAAAAAGCAGTGGTGGGCTAACTAGGGGATGAGGGTTTATGGGGTTTATGGAGATTGATTTGGGTGTATAGCATTCACACCTGCACCCAAGTGCATAATGCCATAACAATATTGACTAGTCTTACCCATAGAACCAGTGAGCAGCAAGTAGAGCTGACTAGCACCCAACAAAAGAGAGATCTTGCTGATATGACCAGTCTTCAATTGGATCTCTCTGCACAAACCTTTTGACCCAAGCCAACCAGAACTATGATCAGTATCTTCTGGTTTGACAACATTCAATGGCTTTGTAATCAATTATGGTGTTGGAATCAATTGTGATATTGTCAATAAGATTGGTCACTCTATCCAGAAGCTTGACAACATGAATGTTTTAGAGAGCTCACTGAAAAGAAGTTCTCAAGTGTATATACTTGTTGAGCTGGAAAAATGTGTAAAGATTTATGGTCAAAATGTTCATGTTGACCCTAATGCTCTGTTTTCTTTGCTGGAAAGATGCAAAGATGTGACTCCATTATTCAGACTATTGTCCTCATCTTTGTCGCCATATTTATCACAACGTTTTGGCCGTTGAACGCTCCGGCTTTTTTCAGGTGGTTGGAATGTCAAACTGAACCCTTTATTTCGCTCACTGAGGTAGACTGTTCTAGTTCCACGTGCCATGTTTTGATGGATGTCAGTTATCTCCTGTTAATTTCCCCTCTGAAAGTTCTCCACTGCCTTAATCGGGTGACTTTTGTACTTCCCTTTGTGTTACAGCTTTCTGGTGTTCTTGAAATCTTACCTTGAGGGGGCGGCCTGTCTCTCCTTTATATTCCTTTCCGCAGCTGCACGGGATAGCGTACACACAGTCTTTAGTCATGGTCTCCTCTCGGAGAGATATCTGCAAAGTGCCGTCAAGCTTTTGAAGGTTGTCCTGATGTTATATGGACCGCAGATCCTTTGTATTTTCTCTGATAACCCCTTCACATAAGGCAGGCAGACTGTTTTCTGAGTGTTGTTGTCCTCCTCCTCTTGTACCTGCCTATCCCAGTTTTGGGGGGCTGCTGCCATGTACCCAGGGTAGTTGTTACGTTGTAGGGTACTACTTATACTGACCAATTCTTTATCTAGTGTCTCTGGGTTGCCACTGATGACTTTTGCTCGGTGTTGTAAGCAACGGACGATCCCTTTCTTTACGCTGTATGGATGGTGGGAGTTGAAATTGAGGTACTGTCCGGTACCAGATATCTCTCTCGAGTGAGACCTCCCACAAAAAAATATTCCATTTAAGATTCTATAAACTATAAACAAATTCGAGCTTGTTTTAGGCAGTTATTTTTTCAGTCTGCACCAGAAATATCTTTATTCCACATGTTTTAAAAACACAAAAATAATTAAGTCTATTACTTTTTTATTTTTATTTTAATAAACTTAATTATTAGAAAAAAAAAAAAAATAGTTTTATATTCACTGTGATATTTAATATTTTTTTATTTTTAAAGACATTATTTTTCATTCGTGAGTGTTTTTTATGCATGCTACTATATCGCATAAGAAGCGATTTGCATTTATTTCGTAAGTAAATACATACTCATTATTTCATCTGTTATTATATTTTTGCCTTATTTTAAATTTCTCTTTAGAATTTATAATTCAATTTGTTTAATTTCTTATAATAACAGAATAAACATTTTTTTTCAGATATTTTTATAAAAATGGTTGGAAAACAAACTGTACTTTCTGCTTGCAGTGTTACTGCTACAAAATTTGGAGGACCACCTTGTCCATTAAATAAAACAGAGCTTTTCGACAAGTCATCCAGTATAGTTATTTTCTGAAAAATACTTGTTCAAACTTAACAAACTTTGCTATTTCAAAATTAATGGCAAAGAATATAATTGATATTTGGAAGGCAGTTAATCCTTGTTTGCCTCTCTTAACCGAAAAGTATATTGTAAATTGAAAAAAATCTGCTTTGAGAAAGCACATCAGATAAATAGAAGATGTCTCTTCAGTGTAAAAGAAAATTATGACAAAAAAGCTGGATGCATTGTTTCACATTTCCGGTCAATTGCCAATTTTAAGTTGTGAAGACAAAAATGTGAAGTGCAAAAAAAGAAAATTGTCAGACAAGTCACATTGTCTGTACTTGTCCTCTCAAGATAAGGTAAAGTTATTTTAATATTTTTTTTTCCTTTTTTAAATGAATTTAAATCCCAATATCATAAATATTTTAATTTAAATGAATTTCTATAATTATATTTTATGTAAACAAATTTGAAAAATAATACAAGTTGCTTTTCTTTCTATGTGAATTAATATTTTGAGATATCTGTTGGTTAGATATATTCTCTCAACATAAATTTAATATTTCAGGTACCAGTGGAAGACAGAGAATATTTAAAAGCTCAGAGGGCCAAAATAGGACCCAAGGGTAGTTTCCAACTTGCACCTGTTGATAAAACTGCTGTTCAGAAGGAGAAAGACAAAAACAAATTTATTCATCTCCTATTGCCACCAAATCTTATGATCAGGATGTTATTATTTCCCAGTCATCAAATAGTGATGAAATATATGAAGAGTATGAGCCTGCTAGGCATTCCAAGGGTGTTTACAGCCTTTTAAAAATTCATCAGTATGCTACTGAATTGATCAAGGGTGATGTTTCATCAAACTTAAGAGAAAAACTTGCAAATGCCTTTCTTTTAGATTTGAAGGCTATGTGCCTTCTCAAACCAAGTGTTAATATTGAAGACATAATTTTGGATAAATCTAAAATAGACTGTGCAAAAAAAAGAACTAAATAAAATGCCCATCAAAAACACATTGATAAAGCAGAAAAAATGATTTGTATTGGTTTTGACAGAAGACATGACAAAGATACATTGCTATATAAAGATATTGTGGAGGCAGATGGATAGAAAAAAATTAAAGAAAACAAAGGGAACAGAACACCATTTGACATTCATAAAGGAGATGGGTTGTGGTGAAAGTGGAAAATACCTCACTTATAGAGTTATCACTACTACTGGAGCAACTGGTGCTGTTCTAGCAAAAGAGGTTGCTAGTATTTTGGAGGAATATAACAGTGTTGATACCCTTAAATCTGTTTTACTGGACAACACCCATACAAATACTGGCTGTGAAGCTGGGCTAGTTACAGTTCTAGAGAAACAGATAAAAAGAAAATTACCCACCATTGGTTGCTCTTTACATCAAAATGAGTTCCATTCAGAGATGTTTTTAAGCACATTGATGGCAGCACAAGAAGTCCGACATCATTTATTGGTCCACTTGGGAGATTGTGTGCAAATGACTATCATAATTTGCCTCAGGTCAAATTTGTACCCATAGTTAGTCCTCTAGATAGCCAATATTCTAGCATCAAACAGACAATTGATCTGAGTAGTGATCAGATACTTCTTTTAGAGTATGCAGTAGGGATTTCACGAGGGAAGATCAACCCTAGATATGCTGCATGGAAAATTGGGTCCTTAAATCAAGCAAGATGGTTGATGTTAGCTACCAGACTAATGTGTTTGTGGACTTGAGGCATTTACCCTAAAAAAATGTTTTCCAAACTACACAGCCTTATCCAATTGTTGGAGTGTATGCGGTTAGCTGGTTTGAAATTAAAAGGGACAATAAATTTCATAACCAGCAATTGTATATTTTCAATATGTTGCAAAAGAATTAAGGAACTATCACCTTAAATTCAGG